AACCTTTCAGGTATGCCTGGCTAACAATACAGAAGTTATAATGATGCAGCACATGCTCTCATGTTACTGTATCCAATAATATAAAATTGACCTCTAAGTCTTTACAAAGTGACCTGTCTTGGCTGTATTTTAGTCAACTAGTATTTTGTAAAATATAGTCACAGTTCCATTATTATACATTATATATGTATATAGATTATTACTATTTAGAAATAAGTTCTTAAACTTTTCTTAAAACATAGAACAGTAAATACAGAAGTCAAGCAAACAATTATCCCTTCTTGTTACGACCTTTTAAAATTTGGCATGTGGAGGATATCAAATGAAATAATTTTTTTTTAGGCTTTATATATGCAGTTGAATAACCAAAAAATCATAAATTACTATATCGAAACCATAGAATTTCACTAAAATTTATCAAGCTTAGTAACTAAGCTGTACTTTCATCTAAAAAAATATGAAATTTTGAGCAGACTAAAGACACAACCTACCTCCTTGAAATATTGGTTTGAAAGAAAGAGATAGCATCCTAACACATGAAAATGGCTGAGAAAGCCACTAGGGAGACATTCTGAGCTTTCAAATGGTTATTTACGTGTCATATATTGAATTAAGTGTGTATAGGGAACCATTTCCAAAAATGAAAGAGGTGAGCGGGGCCACTGTGTTTGAATCATTACACGAGTGACATATCAGCAAACAGAAAAGATAAGAGGTTCTTATTACATATTATAGCTTGTCAATATTGGTAATTTGAGTTCCTAATTTGTACAAAACTATAGACTTAGTATTTTGACATCATAAACATCTAATTTGGACCAGTGCTGCATGCCAAAATACCAGGTGACACACAAAAATCAATGTTTAACTGTGTTTTTTAACATTTATTTTTAAATTAAGAAATGCATAATACTAAAATTTGAATTATAATCTGCAGTTTGATTCCAAACTTATTTACATAAATTCGTGAAATAGTAGTTCAATAAAATTTTGAATACAAGTCAACAAACGAGATGACATGGCCTTTGACCCGTAACCCATCTGGAGAGGATTAAAAGTTGAAGACATGGTCTTAGCAAACCAATCTTAGAAGTAAAACATTTGTATGGGAAAGCTGAAATATGTAAACACATAAATTGATATACGTTGTTCTTTTCTATGTGCAAAGTTACACAATGGGTTATCTACACTCTGTCCATTACTGGGAACTGAGCCCTAGATTTTTGCAATAATAGTTGGTAATCTTACCACTAACCCACTAAGTGAGCAAAAAGGTATAATGACTACACTACTTTGTCTGCAGCACACACACAATAATAATATTTATTATTTGTAATTTACCATGGGAAGTAATAAACCAGTAGAAGCTAATAAAGTGTCAATCACAAATTGTATATGTTAAAATAATGTAGGCAATAGTACAAATAAATTAAGTAATATACAATGTTATATTTTCATAAGCATTGTTCATTAGCCAAAAAATTTTATAAAACATTACTTTTAATGTTAGTGAAATCCATGTAAAATAGTCTTATAAATGACAACCACTGTATTACTTAGGATATAATAATATTTACACTTACCATTGTTTTATGAACAGTTGTATGCCATGTTTGTTTTACTCTGCGAGCCATTGTTGTCATGTGTTCCCAGTGCTTTTCAATAAATGGAATAATTTCCTATAAATAATAATGTAAAATTTACTATAAATTTATTTGTACTTTTGTGAAGCATAATTAAAACTTTTTACTTTTGATATTTTCTACTTTAGGGTTAATTTCTATACAGTTATTCTTTTTCCTCAATAATAAAGTTTTTTGCTTGTTACTCTCAGAAAAGGTTTAAAAGGAATAGCACAACTCAAATTAATTAGATTTCTGTCAAAAATGTTAATTGATTTTAATTTAAGTAGAAAATAAATGCAGAAATCAATCATTAAACTAAGAGTTCTATAAATAACATACAATACATTAAAATCACTGTGTATAGAAAATAAATCACAAAATCCATATAGTCTCACTTGAGGTTAAATTTAGAAATAATAATATTTACTGGATCAGATTATACTGACATTATACACATCTTTATTATGGATTATATTTCCTTTCATCTATAAAAATAGTGTAAATTGTGGCATACAGAATGGAGTTCTGTATTGGTAGTACACTGGTAATAGATATTATTGTGTGCTTCTCTTCAGTATGGGAAAATAAGTTGTAATATGCCACATGTTATTTCACAATGTAATATGTAAAGAATTTTTATTATCAGTATGTTGACAGCCATTAGTCTATATTATAAGTGCCTTAAGGTTTACATACATCTGTTATTTAAATAAATCTCTTATCAAAACAGCAGAGATGTATAAAATGGATAAATTAAAACACCTAGAAATTTAAATGGCAGCTATTAGATTCCATAGAATAAATTAACAGGTCTTGAACTACATGTGCTGTGCAAAATTTGGAAGGTCAAACACTTTAAAGCAGCTGCAATAAAAAAATCAACTTCAGTGAGACATACATTATTGAATAATCTATAAAAAAAATATTTTTAGAAAACAGTCATTTCCTTCCATTTAAGAATCAAAATAACCTTCAATAATTTACATGTATAATCTTAAAATTGAATAACATGTTACAAAAAGTGAATTTATTAATGATTGCTAAGTTTAGATTTGATTACATTCAACAGCATGATAAATGTTTTAGCATTTGTTCAAAGTCATGGAGCTTTTAAAAATTGTCCATTATAAAAAAATAATAAATTAGTCAGCACAAAACAAACATTCTTCATGATTTCTATAAACACTTGACGAATAATGTTCAAACAATAAGCAGATTATAAAACCATGTGTCACAATAAAGAAAAAACTTAAAATAAATTTCTGAAAAAAAAAAGAGTAAATACTGTCAAAAGATCACCAAAAAATTATATAGCTTTGTTAACATTAGAAAAATGTATTATACAAGTATTAAAACCTGAAAACACAAACTTGCAATATTATACCTACTTTTACAAACAGTAAAACTGTATTTCACGTATTTATGAACTTAAAACTTATATAATATTAAAATTTGATTCATTAACTATGTTTTGATGCCAAGTTTATGCATATACAATCATGATAAACCAACTTAAATAAATTTTGAATGTAACTCTCTAAAAGATCAAAACATGTGCACCTACCTGTAAGGAGAGGGTTAATTGAACCATAAAATTATAAATCATTTAATGAGTTGAAGATAGTATGTAGTAAACTGCATTTGTCAAATAATTATACCTAGCATAAAAAAAGCTAATATTCAATATAAAGCATCACATGCTACTGGAGTTAGCTTATCATTGTGACAATAATACATAAACAATCAGAAGAAATCATGTATATTGACAATTTTTTTTTGTCTTATATTATCTAATATAGATTTCATATGTTAATAAGAGAAATGTCACACTGCTGCCTTTAAATGCTTATGAGAGCAAACTAGTCACAATGAAGTTGAAACTATGATAAAAACATAGCCAATTTCAACACATTCTATTGTTTACTGCTCTGTAACTAAGCATGTTTTGTAAATTAATGACTATTAAGAAATAAAAATAAATGCATAATTCTATACATGAGATCATAAATCCAGTGACCCCAAGAGTTGCAACAATGATTTCAGTATCTGTATTATTTTCTATAGTTACAGTGTTCACATTAACTGTAATATACTTATATTTCACAGTTAAAATTCCTCAACAACGTTAAAAATGCACCTACCTGTTTCCCTGGGAGTGAAATATTTTTACAGGCCTAGATCTAGATTTTTTACAATAAAAAATATTAGAGAATTAAAATTATTTAACTAAAATAGAACTTAAGATTTTTTTCAAACAAATAATTTTCTTCAAAGGTTAAGTTCTGAACTTCAAAATCCAATTATTTTTTTTTTTCATGACAACAATACATTCTCATAATGCTCAAATAGCTATATGTATGATTTAGTTTGAGGGAGGACAGGTAGTGGTAAGTGTGTTGTTATTAGATGTTATACTTTATACTAAAGAAATGACTTGTAAAGTAGTATCACTGTTTTAATTCCTTGTAATTTTTATGTATTTAATATTTTTTATACATCTAACAGATTTTTTGTTCAATCACTTCCTTCAAGTCACACAATACATTAACTAATGTATTCTTTGAAATTACTGTAACTGTTATTTGATAAGTACATAAACATTTCAATAACCTTTGTATTTTTTTCAAATTCATTACTCTTTTTAGTTTTATGCTCTTTAACTAGTTTTATCTTAATCCAGTGACAAAAATAAAACATACCTAAAATATAAAAAAGAAAGTTTGAAGTATATAGTTTAGTAATCAAAATTTTTTAGTTTTTTTTTTGCATATGCAAA